CCAGGCTGGTCTCGATCTCACAGCAATCCTCCTGCCTCAGCCTCCCGAGTGCTGGGATTACAGGGTGAGCCACCACGCCCAACTTGAGGTACCATTTCTTAATCAACTTGGAACCCCCAGTGCTTTTGCACAGTATAGGTGCCTGGTAAATGTTGGTGGCTGAGTGTGCAAATGAATGCAAGAATGCATGGATGGGGTCACTCCTGAGACAAGTCCTGTAAGAGCTTCTTTATTTGGAAAGTTCCCTGACCCACACTGCTCCCCTGGCTCCTTCATGCAGTGATCGTGACCACATGTGACATCTGATCGCTTTGCTGTCTGCAGGTGGTGACCTGGCCTCGGTGGACCCCATGGTCCTAGAGCAGTATGTGGTGGTTGCAGACTACCAGAAGCAAGAGAGCTCGGAGATCAGCCTCAGTGTGGGACAGGTGGTAGACATCATCGAGAAAAATGAGTCAGGTAGGGTCCTAGACCACTTCCTCCCACGCTACATTGTCACCAAGGCCCTGTCACCAGAGTACATGGGAACTCAAAAGCAGATCAGCAGTCCAAGCTGGCCAGTCTCCCCAGATCTGTCTGAAGCCTCAGAGCAACAGCTCTTGTTTGATCGCAAGGCTCAAATATTCATTTGGTCGCAGCTCACCAGCATCCCAATCAGATATTACCAGTTTGTCCTTAGATTCATATTTCACAAACATTCCTTCTGGTTCTCAAGCGCTTGGAGACAGAGTCAGGGAGTCCCATTTGAAATTCGCTCATTGATTGGCCTCTGCTTTCCTTTGGGGGTCTTCAGAAGGCTCCTAGCTCTGGGTTCTGGTTGAGCAGACACACTCCCTGCCGTCACCCCCCCCCCATCCCGCCCAGCACACAGACCACAGGTCACAACATTAGTGGAGGTGGGGGTGTGACTGAGCTACTTCATCTGTTTGAGCATCAGTTTTTACATCTACAAAATACAAAAACCTGGTCCAAACGGCACTGCAAGGATTAAGAAAGGTAATGAGAGGAGGAACCTAAACCAGTGTTTGGCACATAGTAGTCACTCTAAAATTATATTTCCTTCCCTTTTATTTTCTTAGCTCCAGGGCAGCCATCACATACCACTGAAGACACAGAGCAAGGAGCAAAGAGCCGGGAGTGAGCAGCTCCTCTGTCTCCTGCAGGGTTCATTGCGGCTGAAATGTGGCTTTGACTGATAATGCCATTGGGCACCAAGCTCTGTGATACCCCAGTGGCTAGTAGTTAAGGTCTAAAGAACGGGAGATGATGTTTCCAGCATCCTGTTATCATTATCCTGTTATCCTGAATCATGTTACCATTAGTCGTCTTAATCACTAGACCAGTGTTTGCCAAGACCTCCTGCCTGAACTGTGTAGTCTAGAAATTGTCCACATTCAACGGAAGAGGGAAAGACGTTTATGTTAATCCTCTGAATTACATTGCCATTACTTATGAGACCTGTGTTAGCCAACCGGACTTCAATTATGTGACCTAGGAATTGTTGTCTCCAGAGATTTAGAGGGAAATCCTAACCCTACTTAATCTCAGTGTCTCCTGCTATACACTCACAGTACAAGGCACTTCTGTGATCTCCAGAAGTGTGTGGATTTCTCTCCAGCAAACAAGCAAGCAGTCAGCTGTGCAGCAGACACCAGCTGGGTGTCTTCTCTCTAAGCCAGTGTAGTTCTGATGCTCTCTACCTGGAGTGTCATATCTCACAAGTCGAAGGCTCAGTTCTCTCCTACTTGCAGTGCTAGTCACAAGCCCCAGGTCTTTTTACCTGTGCTTCTGACTGACCAACTAAATCAGGATTCCTATAGCCTCCTCCTTGGGTTCCATTAATTTGCTTTGAGAAGCTCACAGAGGTCAGAGATATATGCTTACCAGTTTATTGTAAAGGACATTACCAAAGATGGAGATGAAAAGATGCACAGGCCAAGTCATACGGGAGGAATGCAGAGCTCACATGCCCCCTCCAGGAGCTTCTAGTGCTTGGCTATCCAGAAGCACTCCTAACCCTGCCCACATGGGCATGATTGAAACGTGGACAATGGTGTAGAAATGTAATAGGATAAAGGGTCTAACCTGATGCTAATAGACTGGGTAGGGAGACAACACAAGGCCTGTCTGTGCAGATTCTTGGCCTTTGCAGCCTTTACTCCTCCCAGGTAGGGGGCAGAACCCCTTCTGAAATGAGGTCTTATGACCTACTGTCAAAGTAGATCAAAGAGTTTCTTTATGGCCAGCAACGCCAAGGCAGGAAAAGTTAGAGTATATTTTTAGTTTCCATAACCTGCCTTAGGAAGAGAAGTTCTAGTCTCTGTGAACCTGCCTTGGGGAAGGTGGAAGGAGGGCAGGAGTCATGGGGGTGGGGAGGGAGGGAGAGAGACAGAGACTGAGACAGAGACTAAGAGACTGCTTCCTCAGCCTTTTTTCTAGACCTAACATGTCACAACCTTATTCCAGACTTAGGAAATAACAAGGGCTGTGGAAGTAATGAGGCATGAACCACAGATGCAAACTGAAAAGCACATGTTATCCTACATTATCTCTGCTTCATGGATTTGTCACTCATGCCTTATACCTGTCGCTAGAATTCAAATCCCATTCCAGCTGACCATAAGGTCATATGACTTTGTAATTCCTGAGGATAGATATACACAGACTGTGTTATGGTGAGAATACCACATGGGGACATTAAGGGAACACCTATCCCACAGGTCAACCAGCTTGAGTAAAATGAGGAAGAACAGGCTGCTAGGAGGAGGAGTATGAGTCAGAAGGGCAGCCAAACAAAAATAGATGTTCAAATCTGCAAATAACCAGCGCACTGGTAATATTTACTTTTTTAATTATGCAGTTGTCCTTCTATATGTGCGGAGGATTGATCCTAGGACCTCCACAAATACCAAAATTTATGAATAGTCAAGTCCCTTATATAAAATGGCATAGTAGCCATATAGCATGAGAAACTAGAGTCATTCATAGGAAAATGGATGCACATTGAGGCCATGCTCTTACACGTGTGTAAATACCAAATAGTTTCTCTGGTGTGAAAAACTAAAAGTGTAAATAAGATCTAAATTGTATAACTGACAATGTGAAATCGGAAGAAAAGGGCTAAAGGTGTAGGGGAAGTGGGAAGGGTAAGGAGGGGAAGGGAAATAAGGGAAAAGAAAAAATATGAGAAAAGGAATAATGGAAGCAAAGTCTTTGTAAATAGGGGAGGATGGATGGGGTGAAGGGAGAGGAGAGGTATGGGGAAAAAATGAGAACCAAGATCTGTTATGTAAAGGTGCAAGATCCCAATGATGAATGTAACTGTGCTGTATACCTAAAATGTACCATTGAACTCATTTAAAAAAATGGCAGTATTTGCGAATGATCTGCAGCTGTCCTCCCAAATGCTTTACGTAGTCTCTAGATGACTTCTAATACCTAGTCAGTGTAAATGCCTTCCTTGTAAATCATCATTATACTGTATTATTTAGAGGGCAATGATAAGAAAAGAGTATATGTTCAGTACAGATGTAATTTTTTTTTCAAATATTTCTCATTTGGTGATGGGTTGAATTTGTAGAAGTGGAATCCACAGACTCAGAGGGCAGCTGTATTCACAGGTTTTGAGGATTAGGATCTGGACATCTTGGAAAGTTATTACTCTCTACCATAGGCATCACCCGTGCAAGCTCCTCTCTGGGGGATTCCCAGGTGTGGGAGTGAGGCCTCTCAAGCAGTCGCATCCACAGCCAGATTTCCCTTGATGCACACAGATGCAAAAGGGGTGTCCCAGAGAAGTTGGTAGGGCAGTTCCCTCCGTATCAGACAGCCCTGGCACATACCAAAAGCCCTGCCACAAGCCTGGTGAATATCGATGAGTCCATTTGCTCTTTGAGCTTCAGTTTGTTCAAGTGTACAGTGGGGATAATAATGTGAAGATTATTTAAAATAATGCAAGTAAAGCTGTCAGTGCATGACACGCACATCTTAGAATGCTGAATGTTCTTATCACTTAGGATGTCCTTTTTTACCCCTGTCCCAGGCTCAACAGTTTCTTACTGGCCTTTTTTTTTTTTTTTTCCCAGGGATCGAACTC